GTTTTTTTAATTGATAAATAGACAATAAATGACTGAAGAACCCAGGATTTGATTTTAATTTGGAATTGAAACACAGTCAGGAAAGTACGTACAAAAGTAAAAATAAATATTGAGGAAATGGTTCGAAATGATTTTATACACGTGGTTCTCTAAATGGTGTACACAAGTTTTATGCGATAATTCCCGTCTAAGAGGGAACGTGGTTTGGAATACTGCAGGGCAGATTTTAATAGCTTTATTCATGTCGCCTTGTTTTTCCTCGGAAAATATGTAAATTGCGCTTTTCTCTTCCCCTCGGCTTCATGTTATAATGAGCCCATCGGGTTTATCTGGAAAATGTTAATAGAGTCGCCCTGAAAGGACCCAGATATTAAGGAAAGTGGATTTTTCCGGATTTAATTAAAAGCTCAGTGTTACTTTTTAAGGAAAAATTTGCGCTTCGTATCAAAGGGCCTTTTCCATCATAAAGCGCTTCGCTCTCAGACTCGGCAAATGGCTCTAAATTTTTAAGCCCTCCTTAAGTGCTTCTTATACCAAAACCTTCAATTTTCCTCAAATAATTTCATGTTCGGAAGTGTCTACCATGTGGTCAATTAGATTTATATCCTTGAATTTTTCCTTTGCAGATCGAGGGTGCGATAGCGACACCGAATCGGAGCCAGGAATCCAACTCAAGAGGAAACATCGCCGAGCCAGAACAACGTTTACTGGAGAGCAATTGGAAATTCTGGAACAGGCTTTTTCCGAGGCGCAATATCCAGATGTGTACAAACGGGAACTTCTCGCACAACAAACCAACTTAACCGAAGCGAAAATTCAGGTAAAAACTCTCGAGTTTGTGTCACATTCTATGGATTTGATTAGGCTTTAAGAGCGAAAAACAGTATGGATAATTTGGGTGCTTTGCAGGTCTGGTTCTCCAATAGACGGGCTCGGCTGAGAAAAACCACAGCAGGAGCAGCCAGCAGTAGCAACGCTTTGGGATTTGCTGGTTTACCTCTACCTAACATGGCAAACCAGTATCCACTAGATGCTCAGTACGACTGGCGACTTCCCAACACTCAATTTTCCAACTACAACATGTTCCAGGTTAGAGACAACTTTTTAAATTATCATTAGAAACTAATGGGGTTTTCGGGTTTTTAGGCCGTCGTTCGGTAGAATTTCTTGCTGACTTACATCTTCAGAAGTGGTTTGCTTGAACGCTTACACTGTTCAAGCAAACCAGTATTTTGAATTATTCAACACTTTTCGCGTTTTGCCAATGTTTAAAATGGAAAATTTCGATTATTCCACATTTCTCTGATGTAAGCATGTTCGCTTTCTGTTCAAGCATCTTCTAACGCTTTCGAAGTTTAAGAAATCGGATGAAAAGTCACCGCAAATGCATGAAAACTTCTTCATCGTTGCTAGCAAAATGTAGAAAAATAAAACAAAAAAGCCAACTTTTTCACCATAATGGGGAATGTTGCGCAAGCCACTCGTGCTTGCGAAACGTCAGGAAGAAATTCTACCGAACGACGGCCTAAAAACCCGAAAAACCCATTAGCTTCAACGAATGGACTCGAAAGTCTTATCTCTCTTGATATCATCAGAAATTTCGATTTTATTCACTGACATTTCCAAAGCTTGAAGGCACTTTGAGCTTCACTTGGCTGGATCAGTTCGGGTTTTTGTCACCTCATTCTCCTCTAAGGATTATTTTGTAGTACACATTGAACGATTTTCTCAAAAAGCAATTGATTCCAAGTGTGCTAATTTTTTAACTTGTAATTTTACAATTAATTTAGCAGCCGAGTACCAGCTCCTACAACCCGAACGACTATTCCCGGATGGATTACTCAGCCAACTTTGTAGCTGCAAATTATGCGCTGCACCAGGCTCAGATGTCGCAAGCTCATGTGAGCAATCTGAGCAAATTGAAGGAGGCGCCCAATGAGAATGCCCTAAAAGCTGTCGCATCTACGAGCGCGGTTCAACCAAATATCGCAGGAGGAAGCCACCAGTGGACCAAACACGAAGAATGGAGCAACAATGCCTGCGGGATTTCGTACCCAAATGATCCAGCTTTCGTGCAGAACCAATATTTACCCACGACTAGCAAAAGTTACTGGAGCTAAATTTGTTCAAGCTGAAGGTTTTTTGAATAGGAAAATAGTTGTTACTCTAGGTCTAAAAATTTGCAAGCTAATTTGAATTTCCCTGGAAAAATTGCCTGACAATCTGGATCAGTTATCAAATATGGGGAGAGTTTGAAACTGTCGGCTCGGAATCCATTCCAGTTTATTAAGCGTCAAAATTCCCACTATTGGTTTTATAATAAGTGGGCGATGTTTAGCTGACGCTCCTGATGCCAACTGATTTGCAATAAATCTCTGGATCGGTATGAGAATTATATGGCTTGCTAGTTAGGTTTTTCCAATTCCATTTATTGGACATTTTTACACAATACTCTATTTTAAGAATTACATTCACCTACATTAAAGCAACACGAAAAAGTCCATTTGTTTCTCAGTTTATTGTCAATAAATATACATGTATGTTTATACAGATAGTTAAACGCACACGCAATGAGTATATTTGTTTTCAAGTTATTGTCACATTTCTATGCAGCGCTAAGTAACACATTTATTGTCGATTTGCTTACATTGTAGGTCAAATATTGAAACGTTTTAACATTTAAATTGGTATTGTCTTTACAGCTAGTTTTATCCCTATGCGAAAGTAGCCAAACCATCCAGCTCTGAACGTCAATTAAAAGTGTCTTACCTTATAAATGTAAGTAGTAGAATAAAAGAAATGTGGATAAAATGAGCAGATAATCGATTAAATTCTATAAAAGTTGAAAAATCATCATGAAAGCTCAACAACACCACTTATTCTAAGAATAGATTTTATTCCTTCAAGACTGCCCGTAAGCAATAGTGCAATCTGACTGCTATACTTTGTCATATCAACTGGCCCTAACACTACATTGGGTTTATGTTAGGATGTCATATGTATCCGAAGATATTCTTGATTGTAATATTATATGTAATTTTTTAAAATGATATGGGATGAAGATATGAATAAGAATTTCAAGATTTATGCCACCTCTAACATGCTTTGCTTGCTTAGTGGATTTAAGATTGTCGTCAATCAAGCGTGCAATAAAACAAAATGATACTGAAAGGAAACAAAGCCTGTTAGAGCAAAATGTACTAAATATTACTAAAAAACCAGCTACGCTAGGGGGAGATTCTTAGATATATAGATATTTTATTGTCAAAAAGTGATAGCACTTTTTTAACTTTGTAATATAGCATATATTTAACAACATTTTTATAAAAGACAATGCGAATGCGGATGAGAGTGTTTAAGACTTTTAGATGTAATTTTCCTTGCTGTATAAAACCTGTCTAAAGTTTTTTGTTCTGACAACTCTTGTGAAAATATGTGTAACTAACTATTAACCAAAATGTACCAAATGGCAATATATTCAATAAACCAGCCCAAAAAAGGGAAAATTAAACAAACCTTGTAATTATGGGAGGCCTGATCCCGTTTGCTTGCCGAACATTGTTGACTGTTGAACTCCCCAAGTACCGTTTGTTTTCTAGTGGTACCGACGAGACTTTGGTATAGCGGTTGTTTTCGGTTTTCCCATTTGGGGGATTCGGCCTGAAAATTATTTTTTCTAATGTAAAAAAGTACAACGACTTGGCACGACAAAATCGCAGTCCATTTACTGGGTGATTGGACTGGATGGATAAAATGAAACTAAAATAAGTTTATGAAATACATTTGGGCTAGAATTGAAAATCACCCTGTATATTTCCCATGAGCTGAAAATCTAATAAAATTGAAGACAGTTCTCTAATCCACAGCAATGTTGGCTTGCGGTTTCTCCTCGTTATGGAATTCTGGAAATAATCCGCTACATCTTTGGGGGCATTTTGGGCCGCAACTAAATGGAAACTTTGGTAATCAAAATTCCTTCAGCTCACCATATATGCATTTTACACGCTAATTGCTTATTGCGTTAATAGCGACCAGATTGTGTAATTTCTTCACAAATAAGTGTGTGTCATACGTTTTTAAATTGTGAAAAAAAATCAGTGAGGTTTTTTGTGTGGTTTAAATGAAAATCAATTGCGACAAACCGATGGATGTTGTTTTGAATAAAAAATGATTTAATTCATGAAATTTAAGCAAACGCTACCAGTTAGCAAATATACGCCGGAATGTGTGCAATGAAGAAGCTCTTGCGAGTTTTGGCACTGAGGGTCTAACAATGAGCTCCTTGCGAAGAAAACTGTATTGTTTTAAAGTATTTTGAGCAATTTCATATTATATCCATTTTTCTGAAAAACGTAAATATTTGCTTCCCCTTGTTGAGGTTCGCCAATTTCTCATCCCATCTTCAGATCCTGTCTTAAAATGTGCAAATCTGCTACTTAGTTCGAAAATGTGGCATGCAATCAAAACGTAGCTCCTTGTTGGTGTAGACGAACCAACACAACAGTTTAAAGTTTACATTCTAACAAAAATCTAGCTACTCTACTCCAATGTGCGCTACTTGCAGCTACAACAGATCTACAAAAACTACTGTCATTCTCGAAACAGTTAACACAGAAACCTTTTTATTGGCTCGACCTGCAAACGATATCTTCGGTGTTCGATCTTAAGTATGATCGTCCTGATCGATTAAATCGTCGCACTGATCTGTAAGTGGGCAACCAGCCGAGTCGAGCTAAAGCCGCTACATGACGTTTTTCTGGCAGAGAAACCCAGCTGGAATAACTTCTGGATACTGGCCGAAACCATCCAGACTTCGCCACTGATCCTAAAGAGAATCCTGGTTCAATGCCCGCTCTTCTGTTTGCCTTTTTTAATCATCAAGAGCTGATTTAATAAGGCAAAGATACTTATGAGAGCGGGGACTCTTTAATCAGCCAAAGCCAGAAGTTCCACTCCAACGTCTATTCATGCTGGATTGTTGAGGTTTTTGTTGGCGGAGTAAAGTGGTTGAGGAGACATGGAAAGCGGGTTTTGGAAAAGAGTCTTAAATAAAGCCTCTTAAAGGGTTTACCTTCGGTAATAATCAGAAAACTTGAAGTTGAGAAAATAAGTTTCTATCTCAATTTAACTAAAAGATAGGCGATTTAATTGGCTCCTGCTGCAAACAGAATTTTTAATAAAGTTTGTAATAATTAGGCTTCAAAATACTGCCACTAGCAACAAATTGAGTTACAGGGCGCTCATTAATATACAACGTTGAGCCTAAATGCATTAGCGATCATATGAGGGTGGTTTGTGAGCAATTAAGGAAAATTTCGTAAATACATTCCAGAGCATATTGAGCTCCATTCTCTTTGCTTTATGTTCCAATTTCTAATACAATTCCCTAGATGAAAGGAAAATTTGCCGTTCTGATATTGTCCCTTTCCTTGCATTTAAGCGAAGCTCTAAGAGACAAATGTTCAAATTTTGTGCATAAAACCACCGATTATTCTCGGGCTGGAGTCTCTGCTATGGATCATCACATATTTCTATGAGGCGTAATACGCAGATAATTTGGAAAATGCTCTGATTAATAGATGACTCAACAAATATGTTCATAGTCCTTTAAAGGATTTCCAACAAGAAAAGTATCCATTCAACAGTTATGTTAGGACATGCAGGACCACACAAAACGGCCCTTTCATAAGTGATTCGAGATAAATGGGATGGGCATTACACAAAAGGAACTAAATCCTGTTCAGTTTGCGTTTCGATAAATATTTAATCAAGCGAAACGATCTGAAACACCCACATTTGATGTTCACGAAACGCTCCATAAATTCGCTTTTTCCCATTCCGATGTTTATGGAAGGCGAGTTCAGTGGCAACCTTTTTGCCGCATTGAATTGAATAAATCAGAGTCAAATGTTAATCAATTATTAATTTTTGGTTGGTGCGATTTTCCAAAGGAAAATGAATGGAAGACACTGAAAGTCGCTTGCGCTAATGGAATTTCGAACAATGTGGATCCAGACCAGCCATTTTTCCGAAATTCTCGAAATTTAGTATTTTGTGACAAAATAATTGTATGGTATTCCGAAAGTGAAAAATCTTCATTTACGTATAGAGTGATTCTCTGAGAATAAAATGATAAACTGGAATAACTTAACAGAGTTTAAGATTTATGTGCATAAAACCAGTTTCAGTTTTGTTTTCTTACGCTAAGCGCTACAACTTGGACAGTTTCACTAAGTTTACGTTGCACATAATTAAACTTCCAAGGTGTTTTGACTGGGAAACTTCAGCCAACTTTACGATAAAGCGACTAGTTTTATTTAACTTTTATATCAAATTTTTGGGGTTTTTTCTCTCTACCTCTATTTAATAGTGAAATTTCCGATTTATACAGTAAATAATTTGAAACAATTCACGCTTACCCAAAAATCGTTTATCCTCCACGGGATATGCGTCTTGAGAAGCCGCTAAATCCTGCAAAATGTCTTCATAATCCGCAGGCATTTGATACACCAGCTCGTTCTCGAAATAATCGGCCTGGCGCTTATTTCGCTGCTGGGCTTTAATGGATTGTATATTACGTTTATCCGCCGGTCTTTCCATGTAATCTGAAGCAAAAAAATGTTTAACCATATGGCAGCTTGAAGCCCAAAGGTAGTCCTTTGAAATGTTCAATAATTGCACGAAAAACGTACCTGCAGATCTTTTTCCGAGCGCCCCATCTCGAGCCAATGATTGAATATTCCGCTTTCCATAGAAATAAGGCAAGTTTCCATTTCTAGCGATACTTCCAATGGATCTTTTGCCGAATCCGGCCGTACTGCCTACAGGGAAGCTGTAAGCTCTTGCCAAGCTGGCAATATTCCGTTTATAATCCTGACTGTTTAGGAAACTCTGAAAGGGCTGGCGCCTAAGGAAGTCTCCATTTCTGGCTAAAGATTCGATTCCTGCATAAGAGGAAAACGTAATCAATCTTTGATGTCTTAATGCTGGTTGATTGAGTAGATTTTTTACCACGTTTCTGATTTTCTAGCGACTCTGGCATTAAAGGCGCAGGCCCATTTTTTAATAAGACTTCCATGCTTCGCTTGTAATTGGCATCTTCACTTTGATCGATTTCCGGAGGATTTTTGTACCAGGTGCCAGCTCTGGCCAGGGCTTCCAAGTTTCGCTTGTGTTCGGCTGGAATATTGCCCCAGCCGGCCAGTGAAGCCAAACTGCAGAAATACATTAACTGTTTGCAAAGTTTGCCGATAAGGAATTTTTCGCTGCTCAATTATTTCATTTCATAAATTTAGCTGGAAAGTTTGGAGCCAGTAGTTCTGTCCTGATAAATAATTTAAATCCTTTGCCAAACTATAGGGAAACAGCTTGCCAGGCTAGATAAGATTCGTCCCTGTCGGCCGTAACTTCGACAGAAGCCAGCCATGCTTCAAAAATTCAACTCATGGACCAGAATAAATTTGCGTTAAAATCCAGAAATTTCAATTATTATCTTAGTAGCTGTTGTAGATGCTGCATAAAATGGACAACCAGGAAATTTATTATTCTGGAAGTGTTTCTTGAACTTTGCATAAATGAAGAAGAAGAGTTCATTTTTACAGCCAACTGCCCTTACAGCTTTGCCTGTTGGGCATTCTCCATACAAAAAATTAATAAATGTCATAAATTAGCCAAAATCTTAGACTTCTATTTGTTGAAACTGGTGAGTTTAGGCCGTCGTGAAACGAGTTTCTGCCCAACGTTTCGCCAGTACCAGTAACTGGCATCTTCAGAGGCCACAGGGGGTTTGAAAAACGCAAAGAACAATGTATATTTTTGGGTCTTAAAAGCCCGAAAACTCATCAGTTCCAACTTGAATTCCTATGTGATAAGGCACAATTTAATAATGTATGACGCACCTTTTGTAATTTTTTGCGTCCTCCAACTCGGCAAGCTCTAAATTATGGCAATCAAGCTGCAACTTCCTCAATAACTGCCTCCTTAAGGCCTGTACCTGGATAGAGTCAGTCTCTTGAGGATCGAGCAGTATGCGCAAAGATTCCGGTATATCCAGATCGCATGAATTGTCTGATTTTACCTGCAACAAACTTTCCTCAACAAGACTACGAAGTGAGAATGTTGACAACGTAATTCTGTTAAACATTTCGCATCTGAATAAGTAATGTAAGCAATAAAAATGTCTGAGGTTTTCACAGCAGCCGTTCAGAAGATTTAGGGAGGTTGCTGCAAGGGAAATTCATTAGAAAATGGCACGATTGTCGACATTTATTATTTTATTCTGCCATGAATTGCCAATTGCATTCTTCGTTGAAGGGCCACATGAATTATTGATGGGCGAATGAAACAACAAAAAGTGATTTACGGAATTCACATCACAAGTTACGAGAGCGTCGGAATGAATTTTGCTAGAGCGGCCTTTTGTCAGCCAATTGCCACAATACGAGTTATAGATTTTACTGAATGTTTTGCCACATTTAATGTTGGGTTTATCGTAAGTTTTATATGGGCATCAATTATTAATTTAGCCGATTTTTTTCACAATTTCGATAGAGTTGGGTTTCGCGGTTATGACTGGAATCTGGTAAGTTTTTCGGGCTTCTAAGCCAGTTTTTCTCAAAATAATTGGAAAAGTGTTGATTTAGAGCAAACATTCACTCGTCCATCGGGTTTTGGTTATTGGGATTTTTTGGATTTTGTGAAACTGGGTTTGCAGGATTTTCTCAAGGACTGCAACATTAAAAACTTGATAAACTTTGAAAAACCCAACATTTTATAGAAAATAACTTTTTCGATAGAAACGTTCTTTTCAGAAAAATGATAAAATGTGAAACCCGAAGAAAACTGGAAAAGTGAAAAAAAGATGAAATTTGGTTTGGTTTTCAAAGTTTTCTGTTACAGAATGTTACACGCAGTCGAGTTACTATAAGAAAAATCAATTTTGGTTGGCAAAAAAATCTTGCTTCATTCACGAGGAAAAAACAAGAAATTAGTGCAGTAAATTTGAAATTTGATCAGTCGCTTTTGAATCAATTCATATCCACATCGAGTACGTTTCACAGTCATCTAAACAGATTGGATGTGAATCTTACGAAATTGGTTATCCGGAAAAAAATGTTTCCTGTTTAATGTTGAGAAAAGTCGACACATCTGGCACCTTATTACTAGAAAAAAATCGCCCTGGTTGATAAATACTGAAAAAAGAGTAAAATTTCAAAAAACTAATTGAACTTCTTTTGAAACTATTAACAACAAGTTTATTCAGCTAAACTGAACAAGTATGACCACTGAGCCAAAAACGTATTCATCCACATGCAAAATTCAATGGAAAAAGCTTAGAACAATGAATGAAAAACTCAATTAGCATGTGAAAAATGAGCGTTTCGCGAATGTCGCAAATTAATGCATACATGCCTATCAAGCAAATTGCGATTTTACAGTAATGGCTTTTGCGTAACGGATTTCAAACGGTTTTTAAGCGCCTAATAAATGGTCCCTGCAATGACGATGCCTGCAATATTGAATGCAAATTGATAGAGAAATTAGTCGAATAAAAACTGATACTACGGTGTTCCTCACAATGAAAAATTATCTAGAAATCAGACAGTAAATGAAAATTACCAGCGCTTTTACGAAATTTTTTCACGCACGATTTTAAAACTTGACTGCAGAAATTGGACAAAATTTTACTGCAGTGGAGGAAACTGATGGGTTTTCCGAATTTTTTTCGATTAAGTGAGAAAATGTCTTTTGGTGACTTGAAATCAAGAAAATTGAATTTTTCTTCCCCAATTGAATGTTGGCGCGTTTCCGTTTCAAAATTTTGCTAAAAAATATCATTGCTTGAAGTGAACTGGCGAAATGTCGGGCCACAAACACGATAAAAGCCTCTTTTGCTGTTACAAAAAAAAAAATTTGTAATTCCCCGTTTTTCTTTAGCCGAATCCCCATCCACATTACCTTGTTATCGATTAGGGCACAGCCCACTAAAACACACCACACAGATAAATTGATCAGCCTTAAGTTCCCCATTTTTTTAATTTTTTTTCTGGGGGGTTCGCGGTCGAAAAGTGATTTTTCCCGTTATCTGTTGCTTCTGAATGCAACACGTACACTGGCGCCAACGGCGTCTGTCGACGTCGGGACGCTCCATCTATTATATAAGGGTTCGCCCCCGCATGCTGGCTCATTCTACTGGGGAGGGATATTTCTTTCTGGCGCTGAAAGGCCCCAGATCTACAACTGCAGTTAGGTGTGATTTATATTTTTGGTGACCAATTAATTGCGGTTTAAATGTAGGCAATCTTGTGCAGAAAATCGATTCAAATTGACGCAATAACAGGCTCTTTGTTTCCTGCAGACCAATCACGGTGAGTTATATGTGTGTAAGTTGGATGCTTTATGGGCGTTTTTATTCATTAGCCAAAGTTACCAGTTGCGTAGTGAAGGGGGATATAGAATTTCCGAAACGGGATCCTAATATCAATCCCGTAGGAAGTAGTGGAAGTTTCAATTGATGGACGCTAGGGAGAAATGCTTCTTTTTTAACAAGATGGCTTGGTCTCATCGTGTTCCTCCCATGAGGGAGATGTTTCCGGCTTCTCCATGTGTGCTTGCCACTCAGAACAAACTTTCGAAGCAGTCGGAAAAGGCAGACAGTAAAATGCGAAAAAGTGCCGATGAAAACGAATCAAACATCAACAACGCTAAAGAAAAACTTGTTCAAGACATTAATTCTAAAAAAGGTCTTGAAGTTGATTAACCGACAGAAGCGAAAATAAGCAGACAGAAAGGTGGAAGTAACCAAGTGAAACGCAAATTCCATGTGGATGGAATAGAGAAATCGACAGCAGCAAGTCGCGGCAAAAAGTGCAAAATCCATTTGAAGTTGATATGGAAAAAGAGAAATTGCAGAGCTTCGCCTAATTAAGAAAAATAATAAAGTGCGACAGAAATTAACAGGGTCCTTCACCATTATATCGATGAACTAAGAAAATCTGAAAGAGTAATTGATCGGTGTGCTTGACAATCCTTCCAAATTCATTGTTTCTGTTGAACAGCTGACCAATTTAACTTATTCACTCTGTGGAAGGAAGACACTTCCACAGTTATTACGTCGTCTAATTCATGGATTTCAAAGCTTTACTGATCATCCGGGTAATGATTGATTGTGAAGTTGAACGAACTGTGAGGAATTAATTTCGAGACGCGACTCAACCCAACATGAGTTCAATTAGGCGGCGTTTCAAGCAAATAAACGATTCCAACTGTACGGAAACTCGACAAAACTGATAATATTGATAAAAGCCAATGTAACAACAAAGCGGCAACATAGCTTGATTAATTTTATTCAAGCTTTAATCAAGGACACACGTGTTGAACATTGTTGAATGCCACCCATGGTACAGATACGCGGAAACAGCTGGAATTACGTTGCAATTCGCTCCATCTGTTTCATATTTCTTGAAATGTTGGCGCAATTTTGCCACATAGTTTCAGTGGTTTTGTGCTAGTTGCGATCAAAGTTCGGAATTTTCAAAAGCGCGAATTGTCCCTGGGAACGTTCCAACTGAGCTGCAGTAGCGCGCAACACAACTGATTAGAAAGCTGGTAAGTTATGCTTTCGTTATACTAATGAAAGTAACAAGCAGGCAAAATGTGGAAGAAAATTGCGCTTGAAATTACAAGAAAATGCTTAACAAGCTGATAGTGGAGGTGATTATTTGAAAGGACGTGGTCAAGAGCTTTTGCTGTAGTTTGCTAACAGTTTGTTTTTTTACTGTATTAAAAAATCAGTTTTCCCCGGCCAAGTTTGTAGAAAAACCACACAAATTAGGCGGTTTTTATTACCTAAATTGAAATTCCGGCCAAAAAAGTGCACTCAATGCGCCAAACCAAAATTTCCATTCATTGCCTAAACCAAAGCAGAGCCAACTGATGTTGCATAAATTACATGAAAGGCGATTTTACACACTACACTATGTATATGCAAGAAAATTTCCACTTTCCTGCCAAAGAAGCCTCACAAATGCCCAGAAGCGTTATAATGTCTCGATCTATATGTAATGCTCATTTAGGCCGCTGATTGACGAAATTTGTTTTTCTAGAACACGCACTATTGAATTTCAATAGCGCATTTCGCAATTGAATAGACAATTCCTGTTCGGTCATTTATCGGAAAAACCAACATTACAACGTCAAGTGTGGTAATGTGGCGTGTTTTGCCCTCAAGCGCTTTGTGAAAGAAAGACGTTTTTCCAGAAAAATGTTATGGGGCCAACCTCAATTGCGCCTGAAATATGCTCAACTAATTAAAAAATCAATAATAACTGGAAATTTGCCGACCTGAACCATCAGAAATCTGCGTTTTAAACAAATTTTATTCAAAAAGCTTGTAGTTGCGAACATTCGGCGACAAACAGAACCATTAATTTGCTTGGGTTTTATCAACACAGATCGAGAGATTGTGGTAGACAAACGGTCGCCAGGACTTAAGTATTCGCAAAACATTCATCATCGCCGCTTTAAACGCTAATTTCACTATTAATGCGATTAATCGGGATGATGCAAAGCTGGACCCATTTATTATTTAATTGCAACATAGCTGATTGTTATTTCAACAATCTGGCCATTGGAAAACATGTTGATTATGACGGTGTATCACGCTTAAGTGGATCTAATTTAAATTTTTTAATTCACATTCACACTTAATTTTTCAGGTTTTCGTTTTTTTTGTGGATGAGGATCGGAAACTACTCTTTTATCCGTCGAGAAGCGTCATCACAAACGCGCATCCGGAAGCAAAAAATTTGCAACTCCCAAAGCAGGCTGTTCAGACAGTCGAAATTTTCAGGAAAAGTTTCTAAAGGTTGAAGCTTCAAGTTGGAGAAATTTTATTAAAATGCGAGCATTCGTTGTTTTTTGGCAAAACCGGCAAGTTAAAGTCTAAAATGACTAAGCGCGCAAAAAGCACAGGCGGCTTTTGAAAAATTCACAGCTTCCACCCCACGTCATGAATATAATTTAAACTGTTTATCAAGTATTACTAAAGATGGAGTCTTCATGTACAAAAAAATTGAGGTCACTTCGATTTCTGGATGACTTTTCACGAGCCTCCAAACTTGAGGTCCGACTAAACAGCCGCTTCAAACGTGCACCCGGAAGCAAATAAATTGCGACTTCCAAACCAAGCTATGAAGACATTTGCAATTTTTACCAAATGTTTGCTAATGTTGTGAAATTTTATTGAAATGCGAGCATTGAATGTTTTTTGAAAAATCGGCAAAGATAAGTCCGAAAGAATCAACCGCCCGAAAAGTGCAGGCGCCTGTTAAAAAATTCACAACTTCCAAACCACTTCATGAACACAATTTGAAGTTTTGATCAAGTATTACTAAAGATTGAATCTCTATGTATAAAAAAAATTGAGTCCACTTTGAACTCTGGATGACTTTTTACGAGCCTCCAAACTTGAGGTTCGACTGAAAGAGCTCTGCAAACACGCATCGGCATGTTGAAAAAATTGCCACTCCCAAACCAGGTGTTGTATACATTGTTGACTAATTTCGGTGTAGTGTAGCGCCCTGTAATTTTGTTGCAACCAGGGCCGTAAAAAGGTTTTGCGTTAAATAACCGGCAACGTTGTATAAAAAGTTTGCTCTCGACTACAGCGGCCGAACCGATTTGTCATCACGCTATCCAGCAATATAATTCGTTTAAAGTCTTAAAAAAGTGCGTTTTATTGAAGAGAAACAAATCCGATACAGTCCACTAAAAACGAGGAACATAATTCCTACATCGCTTAAAAAAAAACAAACGAAAAATGCTGGGGTTGAAGCGAAGGAAGCTTGCTGAGCCCATATGAAGCCAGTGGGAAAACAAAAAGGGTGGCACGGCTGGGGATTCGAACCTCGCACCTTCAGGTTGTTAGCCTGTCGATTCAACCACT